TTCCACTGTTCAGTTGATTTGCATATTAGACTTGTATTATATAGGATACAATTTCTGTGGTATTATGAACTACAGATAAAAAAAGTCCAAGAGATATTATAAATCAAGCAAGCAAAAGCTTCTGGCATACATACACAGACTTTCCTGTGGAAATAAAAATTACAATAAAAAAGTCTACCTTTGGAATCTTAAGCTGTTTGATAAATGTTCTGTAACCTAATCATTTATCAGTGTTAAAAGTATACACACATGTGACAGCCTTTTGCAGACTCAAGTTTGCAGAGCTTATTTGGTTGCAATATGTTGAACATTTTTATTATTAATGCACTGTGGGGCTTTGAATTGATTTCATTACAAACAGAGACCAGATGTGCATTTATGCCAAAAGGGCTATGGGATGAATCCTTATTATAGCAATTTGTGTGGATTTATGCACTCCCAAAATGGAGAGACCTTCCATGGCACATTAGCTATGCCAGGGAATTTCTGAAAGAGATTTTTCCTGAGAAATATTACAAATGATGGCCTTACTAAAGGCCTGTCTGGGCCATTTGCTCTTTTCTCTATTTGTTTTTAACTAGGCTGATCCTCAATAATATACTGTATAATAATCCATAAATATCTGACCCAGCAGATCATTTGCAGATTAGCCGTAACTATCTATTTACCCTAAATCATGGGAGAACAGTGGTTACATTGACTCTAGTTACCCTCTTACATATGCATCTCCATCCGTGTTGCTATTCATAATGATGCTCCTCCAATTTCAGCACTGTTCCTGCCACAGTTTTTATGTCCTTTGATTTTATTACAGTGTAGCTCAGACCCCAGGGTGAATAACTCTGGCTGGATGTGATCAGATTAAGAGTTCAGTAGCCTATCTCCTTACATTAGCGTCTTTCAAAAAATACTCCCTACGTACTTAGCCCAGGGGTTAATATTAATTCAGTAATAATTCACCTAGAAAGCTGAGTGGTTTTTCAAGACAATTCCTGAATATGGTTGGACTATTTCATTGCAGAAATTACTGAGTGACTTTAATGATGCTTAATTCTTTTCTTTCCTCTGCAGACCTGCTAATCTTAGGACAAAAGAGATAATTCCTTACAAAGACCAGACAGCTGTTTTGCCCATTTGATTTATGGATGGGGTGCTTTTGCTTTATAACAAATATGTTCCGTTCTGCCAGAGCATGTCTGTTGAATCCTATGGAGCTTTAACATTATGTTATGTTATAAATTTATTAGGATTATAGAATGTAGGCAACTGGAATTTATAATGTTACCTTAGCTTGATTATAAATTTATAAAATCTTCAAAAGTGTAACAGGAGGCTTTGGCGCACAACAAATCGGCTTATGTAACTAACCCAAGGTCGGTGCTAGCTGGTATATTAGCTGGCTCTGCCTTTACCCAGACACCATGCTCAGCCACCACAACTGTAAATAAATTATAATTGCCTGTCTATCACTTACTCACTGACCTAGTCTCTCTTCACATTCTACCCTTTTGCCTGGTGTGTCCCTCGCACCTCCAAATGTTTATGCTACTCACTGAATATAAATGGTATTTGCACAGGTTTATTTGCCACAAAGCTCCAACACTTCTAGATATTAACATTGGAAACTTCCAATGAATAATGAGCATGCAGTGTTCAAGGAGTTATCTGTCTGTATTTTCTCTCCCTTTTCTCCAAAGCATCTTCCTCCAAATTCATACCTTTGCTCATTTCCTCCCTCAGGGCCAGAGTCCAGACAATAAACAGATGGAAGAGGGTTTGCAGTGGTATTGGGGGAGCAAAGGTGAACTGCAAGAGACTGATTGGGAGCCCAGAGCTAATAATAGGAGTAGAGCTATTCCTAACCCAGGCCTGTGGTTGCTGGGTCCAAGGAATGACTAAAAAATGGCAGTAGGAGGAATGTTCTTGAGGGGAAAGATGACCTATAAACAGGAGACACAGCCTAGTCTCAAGCACTTTTTCAAAAAAAGATGTAGGGGAGTAAATCTCTGACCTCACTCTCCCTCCTTGTTTAGTCTCCTTCCCAGCCTCCCCATTCTGTCTGTGTTAGGTCCTTCTCCTACCCCAGCTCTATTTGCCATCACCCACTCTTCCTTTCTCCCTTCACTCCCACCTCCTCCCTTCTTCCTTTTCCTTCTCCCAGCCCCGTCCTCTGCTCTGGCCTTCCTACTTTTCTCTAATGGATTTTCTAAATGTCATATTGAAAAAATAAAGTGAAACAGGCATCTTTAATGATTCATGCCTCTTCCTTCCTCTATTGCAGTTCTGTGAACTGCAGGCTTTTAAAGTGAAGAGACAGTCTGGCCGGTGTGGCTCAGTGGCTGAGCATCAACCTATGAACTAGGAAATCACAGTTTGATTCCTAATCAAGGCGTATGCCAGAGTTGTAGGTTTGATGCCCAGTAAGGGGTGTACAGGAGGCAGCCCATCGATGATTCCCTCT